AAATATGACCTAAAATGTGATCTGTTCTCCACACAAGTCCTAAAACTAGATAAAGAGAACCTAATTAAACAAATGAGTCTAAAACATTACAGTATACTTGTTCATTGATTTATTGAGGAAAATTATCGAAAGCTACATATTTGTGTGTGGTATGTGAATTGCCTCCATTTGTACATGATCTACCTGGCAGTAGACTGGTGGAATCCAAACTCTTTGGAAATAGTTTTCCAGCATCAACAACTGTTTTTGGAGGTCCTCAGAAATTTTCTTTGTTTGAGCCATGACACACTTCCACATACTTGTATTGTGAAGATCAGACTTTGATAACGGATACCCAAAATTCTGTTCTTTCAATAAGGCAGGAATTCCCACACTCACACCTGATTATCTCATTGACTGAAACACCCAACTCTAATTTCCCCTTCAAATGAACTGATAATCCAAGAGATTCATATACTTTTGCCACACACAAATACATAGCTTTGGATCATTTTCCTCAATGAAGAAATGAACAAGTATATGTTTTTGACTCATTTGTTTAATTGAGTTCTCCTTATCTAGTTTTAGGTCTTGTGTGGAGAACAGATCACAGTTTAGGTCATATTTATGCAGAAATACTGAAAATTCAAAAGGGTTCACAAACTTTTAAGCACCACTGTACACTGCTCCACACACTAGTTCCATCACTCATTCATTCAGTCCTTGAAAGATTCAGTGGGAAGCAATCTGAAAAGCTTGCCCATCATTATAATAAGAATGTCTGTTCAGCCTGAATATAAAAACAAGACAAATCATTATATAACCGTTGCAATGTTGGAATAAAAGCCATGGCTGCTTTTAAAAAAGCAGGCAATATTCTGCATATGTATGTAGTGATAGACATAATCTTACAATGCCTTCTTCCAACACATTTAATGGGCCATCTTTGAATATATGAATTTGCTTTAAAAAGTAGATTCAAACACAACACTCAGCCAAGATGCCATTTTATTTGCTTGTGGCTAAGCAAGTTGCATGAATTCAGCTACTATAATTTATCCAACAACCAAGGTTAAATCATAGTTAAGCAGGATGTGTGAGTGCAGCTAATGAGTTTATTTAGATCATTATAGGCTACTCTGGTATTTCAAATACTATTCTGTTATATTCCTCTCCATTCTTTCCTTTGTTCCTTTGACCCCAATATCTACAACTGTCAAAGCTGCCCTCCCTGAAAGCTTTTCATCTGTTGCTGGTCTTTTTGTTTGCAACTGCCTGCTATAATGGCAGAATATTAATTCCTTTACTTTCCTCATAACTACATTTTCTGAGAAAATTTTGATACAATTGGTTAGTTTCCATTAACTGGTGCAACTAAACCTAAGTACCTGTAAATGAGACAATGCATTTTTTTTCCTTGTTGACTACTTCAACTTTTTCTCCCTTTTTCAGCTTAAAGAAGAGATTTTCCATAACACTTACAGTTCCATGTGTGCTGCTGGAATTATACAAAAATACAAAACAGCTTGATTAAATTCTGGTGCTCTATTCTCCCTGACCACCAGCCGTAAATATAGCTAATGGGGCTGAGGCTGTGACTATGTATGCACAATTATCCACTTCTAGTCATTTTGGATCTGGGTGCACAGCAAGAAGTGGTACCATCAACTAGGCATAGAGTGCTTATCCTTTAGCTAAAAACATAGCCATATGCAGAACTGTTGAATGATTCTCCCTTTCTCTTTCCAAATATAATGCACCATTATTGAGATAGCAAAATAGGGACAGTAACAGAAGCAAAATTACTATGAAGATTATATTTTTATACTATACCGTAAAACTTCTGTCCCTGAGGACTATGAGCAAGACTCAGAACTATACAGTAGTGCTGTATTAAATAAAGCACCTTCCTTTTTAAAATTCCTTAAGTTCTGCTGATCTAGCTTCTGTGAGTACCATAAATATACAGAGAACAGGTTAGGGATAGATTGTAATGGAGAAAATCTATCTATGTGGTTGCTAGAATCCAAAAACAACTTGATGGCATATAATCAGTCACCAATTGTACATTCTTATACACCTCAAGGACATTCAGTTGTTCAACAGGGCATGTAACCTATTCAACAAACTCAATTTACTGTGCAGGAGGCAGTGGTGCAAATGGTATTTTGCCTAGTAAATCATAAAAATGAACTAGATGCCATCCTTTACATAGGACTGTTAAGATTACATATATCTTCAATTTCTGAACCCAGACAATTAGCCTTTCATCATTCTATGATTCCAGAACTGGTCAAGATATAGGAAAATGCTGAAGAGAATAGAATATAGTTAAGACAGTATTCTAGAGATAGGTGTGCCGTGTAAGAATTGAGAGATTCCAAGTGGGAAAGGAATGTTGGGCTTCTAGTCAGCCATGAGACACAGATGCAGCATTTTCTCATCTGAAGCGCTGTTCTGAAGATTTTATTCCCCTGTTTTGTTGCTATAGCAATGCTCCAATACTATGAGTTGAATGAGCTGTATTTAAGTAAATTGCAAGATGTGAGCTTTTCCCAATTAGACAGTAATTGCCCGCAGCAAGGTTCCAGGCACTGCTTAGAATGCTTTGTCCTTCAGAGCCAGCCATTGGAGGTGAAATCATGGCGTAATTCCATTACTTGTATCTCAGTTAACGGGAGTAAGGGGGCACGGCAGAAGCCTCCCTTATAACCAAACCACTCCATGGCCTGCTTGAGACCTGGGACCCCAAATTTCCGGGTGACCTGTTGGAACACAAATAATATAAAATTCTAAAAGCTGCCACTTGACTAACATTGCAAAATAATTGTGTACAAATTTCCTTTCATGCAAACACCACTCTGATGCATCTTATAGAATGTGGCACTGACTGAAGGTTTTACTATCTAGTTGTGTGTTAATGACCCACAATTATTTTTCTGCAACTTTTCCTAAATCTAGACAAGGAAGTCATGTGTGCATCATTTTGCATCAAAAACTTCAGCATTTGGAGTCAATATGGGCTCCTTGGAACAATGTAGATGATTTTCTTGGAGCAAGTGGCTAATTTTTACTTAGGTAACATGAGATCTACAATTAGTACTAACTCAATACTAATTTAGGCCACTGGATTAAAAAATTACATTTCCCTCTACTTTGACTGACAGATGGTTTTGCATCTCTTGGGCAAGGTTCATTTCCAATGTTTCTGCCCAATGTCATTTGACCAGAGATATCACAAATTTATTCTGGTACCTTGGACACAGAAAGCACATTTCTAGCACTGATCTATGGAAAACAGAGGGACTGGGAAAATTACCAAAGGAATTACAAGCCCTGGATAATTGTCTGAAAAGTATTAATTGGGTCTGAAATTAATCTGAAAGCAGTATTTCAAAGTTCCTAACTACAACAGTTTTGGGGGGAGGGGCACATATTTTGGAAACATACCATATGAATGAAACACAAGCTTTTCAAAGGAGAATAAAAAATGTCATGAGCTTTGCCTCTAAATTTGTTTTTTCAAAAAGCAAAATAGGAAATTTTAAATGTGGTAAGTTCAAAACTATTGAAATGGAGGCAGAAGATCAGCAGACAATGATTTAGCACAACTGTTTTGTTATTGTATTTGACAGTATGGGACACATAGTCTCCAGTTCAAAGATTATTTTGCCAAGTGAATAGGATTGGACTTCAGACTGATTCCTGGCTGGGGAATGCCACAAAAAATATTGTTTTTTTCCTAGTCTAACCCTTACTTCCCATATCTTGCCAAGAAGCATAGCTCCACCTTAGAATCTTTAAGTTCCCCCAAGTTTAAGGGCTCTTACTGCAATGTTTGGCTCAATCAATCGGTGCTGCAGTTCACGGGCTTCATCCCAATTTCCAGCATGGCAAAGATGCTCAAGGTGACAGATAGGACTGCCTAGCACATTGGCAAGGGCACAGACTCCTCCTGTAGCGCCTAAAGTAAAGCTCAGAGTCAACAGAGAATGCCTAGCTTGTAACCTATTAATCTTCCTCCCATATCTACTTCATCCACCCCAACCACCTTTCTTGCATTATTCTAGAGCATACTAACTCAATTACTGCTTCTTAGCAATCATGTAATTATGATACATCTATTATCTATTTTTTTTAATGTTACAATAGCTGCTTCCCTATTCCATACTGCTTCTCCATATTCTGAAACATCTATCCTATAACCTACCTACAATATAGCTGGCTAGCAAAAAACCAGCTGATCCTGCCAGTACCTGGAAGTCTTCATTCTGGGTCTTGTGGACAAGCAGCCCCAAGCGTGTAATCTGGTAAAAGATAGGTTGGTTTGATAGCAGGAGATAGCACTAATCACCAGTCATAACCGGAATGCCAAAAGCTGCCATTAGCAAAAACACAAGGCACTCGTGGAGATACTGCACATGCCAGGAAATTCATAAATACAGGGCAACCTTAATGAAAATTCTAACAGTCAGTTCATGCTGCTTGTTTTGCTAAAGCAGACTTTTCCAATGTGGGTCTCTCCAGTTGTTTTGCCCTAAAAATCCCAGCAGTTCCAGTCTGCATATCCTATACAGGGATAATGGGAGTTGCAGTCAAAACATCTGGAAGAATTCAGACTGGAGAAGGCTGGACTAAGGCTTGTTATCTTTTTAAAGTTTTGTACCTTTTCCCTTTACAAGGAAGGTCTAGATATTTAAAGGAAAGCTAAGGACCACACAGTCTCCAGCCCCATGCATCTAGACAGGTCTGTTGAAAAAAAGCAACAAAATTTTAGATTGTAGAGGTTCACTAGCCAAATTTCCCCTAGCTTGATGTTTTGAAAATGAAAAATTGAAACTGAAATGCTTCTATACAGCTGAGCTTTGAAGAGAAGTAGATGTTCTCATAGGGCAGACCACTGCATTAGAACAAACATGGTTAGGTATCATCCTATACTGATTCTTCCCCATTTAATCAAGCCACAGGCAGAACTGGAATTGGAGAACAATTACCACAGCAACTGTTTCATAGAAAAAAATATTAGCTTTTTATCTATCACATTTGTATTACATTGTATTCTGCAATACACTCAGCCTGGCATACATGGGATTATCATGTTTATTCTTACCCATATGCAAAATAAACTTTGGGTGAGATCACCCAGTGAGCTTCTTGGTGAAAGGGAGATTTGAACTTGAATCTTAACAGTCTAGATATGGCATAATGCCCTCTATAAAGCACTAAAGTGAACTTTACAAAGTATCTGCTTTGTCCCTCTAATTTTAGTTTAATGTTCAAGTGATAATCAGATAGGTGGGAAACTGCCATCTGGCTACGGCAAAAATATTTAAAAAGTATTTTCTTCAACAGCTTAAATATTAATCCTTCATATTGTAGGAGAAAAGAACAATTGACAGGTCTCCAAATCAGTCCATAAATCCCTTGTCTGTTTCAAAGAAAACGTGTTCAGCAGTTTCCATCCCTTAATACCAAAAAATGCCCATCGTGTAGATTCTTATCTCACCAAGACGCAATAAGGATCCCCTGAGGGGGTCACCTTAGTGCACCACCCGGTTCTCACACTTCACTCACATTGCCATCGCTGTCCTTGATCCCCACTATGTTGGGATGTTGCGCGAGGCTGAGCACTGCCTCATTGGGCAGTTCCAGGCCCGTGTTGGCTGGAACACTGTAGAGTATCACAGGGATTGGAGATGCATCAGCCACCTGGGGACATAAAGTAGCAAAGCACGTGGGCACACAGGAAACAATCTACCTGTGAACAACAAACTGCCCTTACAACGTCACTCTTCAACAAGTCCCCTCACATAAGTCCAGGCAATACAAGGCAATCTCAAATTATTGCAGAGTCAATATGGTGCCATATTCTTTTCTCTTTTCAGAGAGAATACCATA